ACTTCTTTTGGTTGGGAATTTTTTGATGACCTGATCGATTTCTTCTTTTGTGATGGGTCTGTTCAAGTTTTCTACTTTACTCTGTATAGGTTTAGGTAGGTCGTGTACGTCTAGCCAGAGCCAGGCGAGGGGCAAGGATGTGACCCAGGGGTCAGGCGAGTTGGAGTGAGGATCACCCTTTGCCAGGACACCCCCAGCCCAGAGGCCCACATCAAACCAAGCAATGGAGGCAGGAAAGACAGAATTTCACTTTTATTTTTATTGAGACATTTCTAGTCAACAGAAAACAGAGCTGACAGTGTGGTGACCTTCACACACACAGGACCCAGATCGATGGAGCATCATCATTCTGACATTCTTGTCACCATTACCTTATGCTGAAATACTTAATACAGACACTATGATCATTTAAGAAGCGCTGGGGGTGCTGTGGGTTAGATTAACCACAAAGTCTGCAGTTGAAACCTATTAGCTGCTCTGCAGGAGAAAGATAAGTGTGTCTGTCTGGTAAAGAGATACAGTCCTGGAAACCCTGATTCAGAATGAGTGGGTGGGAGTGGGCTTGCTTGATGGCACTTCAGCGATGATATCTATTGTTGTTAAGTGACGTTGGGGACTTCCAACTCATAGTGACTCTATGCAGGGTTTCTGAGACTAAATCTTTGTAGGAGAAGAAAGCATCATTTTTCCACTGCAGATCTGCTGGTGGGCACGAACCACTGACCATGTGGCTTTCAGTCCAGTGTTTCTCCTACAGTGTCACCACGCTCCTATAGAGACCCAGGAGAGGGGCTGGGGCTGCCAGAGCCTTCTATGTGTATAGGTGGCACCATCAGGAGCTGAGACCCCACCCCATGCAGGGGCCATCAGGGGTGGGTAGAGGAGCCTAGGCACAGAGGGGCTGTTGCCTCCTCTACCTGGCTTTGGGAAGGACCCACAGAGGTGCTATGCCAGGCACATGAAGTCAGCATCTGGCCTAGGACCGCGGCCTAAGGTATCGGGAAGGCCTGGGTCCCTCCTAAGCAAATGTTACCCGGGTGGGACAGCTAACTGCGTCAGCCCCGCCCCCAGCCACCCCACTCCAGTCCCGCTCCTTGTCCCTGCCTCCCTGCCCCCCTGAAAAACACACCGTTGTAGACTTTCAAAGACTTTATTATGCTAGGGATGGGGGTATGGAGAGAAATGGGGTGCTTGTGGGGGTGTTCCACATGCACCCGGAGCACTAGGAGAGCCGGGCCCCCTCCACCTCTGTGCTTCTGTGCGATGTCTCTCACTAGGGAGGCGAAGTAGGGGTGAGGCAAGAGTGTCGTCAGTCCGGGGCGCCCTCCCCCACCGCCACTTGCTGTCCTTAAGGCTCTGATCTCCACCCCACACCCCACAGGAGGCACATCCCCTGTCCCCAGGTTGGAACCCCAGGAAGGACACACTTACCTGGGAGAAGGCATTGGCACACTCATCTGAGGGGGAGAGAGAGGCTAAGGGTCTTCCCAAGCCCCAGCTTCCCATCCCTCCTGGGAACAAACCGGGCACCTTCCCACCCCACACCTGGGGTCAGTGGGTCTATAGTGTGGGTCTAGGGTCTCCAGGCTTCGGCAGCCCTGGGTTCTGGTGGGGGTAGGAACGTTGCTCACCAGACTTGGGCAGCAGGGCCCCTTGGCTGGGGTCCAGACCCACTTGGGATGATAACATCTGCATGTTCTGAGCACCTTCTGGGACCAGTTCAGGAGTCCGGGCTGCAGGTGGGGGGGAGGGGAGCTGGTGAGACAGGCCAGGGAGGGGCACCAGGGGACGGAATGGAGAGGGCTCCTGGACCCACAGCTTCAGACGCTGAGGTCCCCAGGAGACAGCTGGGGGTCAGTGAATCCGCCCGCCCAAGTGTGAGCATCCTGGAATGTGCTAGAACATACGCAGGCTCTGGAGGGGAAGGCTGTACTGGGGGACAGCAGGCCCGGCGCACCCACCGTACAGCTGCAGCCACTTGTTCTGCACCCCTCCTTTGTCCGTCAGGAAGAACATCACAGCATATTGTTTGTAGTCGGTGTTTGCCACTCGGATGTCTGTCTGTGCCATGGCTGAGAGCGGGCAAGAGCTGAGCCCCGTGTGCCCACGCAGGAACCCCAACAAGCCTCCTCCATCCCCTGAGGCCCACCATCCTTTCTGTCACCTTACCCACATTGCTGAACTGCCCATTCATAGAACCCTTGGTGAAGGTCGCATCCACCTGCTGGCATCCGCCATCGGGCCTGTGGAGGAGCCAGCAGAACCCCTGACCGGCAGGACCCCTAGCCAAGCCCACTGAACACAGGACCCACCCCAGACTCCTTTTGGTTCGCAATACAGAACAAAGGTCCTCTGTGATCACTTTACAGGTGAGGGAACTCACACCAGAGTGCGGGAAGGAGAGAGAAGTGCATGTTCAAGGTAGGGGGGGTTGGGTTTGAGAGGCCTGCTGGTCTCCACTGCAGACAGACAGACAGACAGACACACACACACACACACACACACACAGCTTCCTCAACACTGAGGCTTATGGTGGAGGTCACCCAGCAGGGGCCTGGAGATGGGTGAGCTGCCCCTGCTGACCCCTGCAGCCCACGGAGGACGTGGAGACTGTCAGATCCTGTCCCAGTGCATCAGGGACACACCTACACACCTGGCTTCATACCTGAGGTCTGGGATCGGGCTCAAGGGGGCACTTACGTGGGGTACCCGAACTTGACACCCAGGTTGCCATCAGCCATGGCGGTCACTGAGACTACAGGCATCTTCATGTTATCCTTGGTCTCCAAGAAGGCCTGGTCATCAGAGGCCATCCCGACCACGTACCAGATTCCCTGGAACTGCAGAGTGGGAGCCAGGGAGAGCTGGAAGTTGACCCCTGCTCCTGACCGCAGGTCCCTGTGCTTCCCTGTTTCCCAGCCAAGCCCAGGACCAGTGGCACCCCAACTCAGAACTGGGGGCAGCTGCAGTCTGTCCTAGCTAGAGGTTCTGGGACTGGGGGTGGGTACAGCCTGACCACCCTTCCTACCTCCAGTTCCATGGGGCAAGGCAATGAGGCTTTTACCCAGCTCCCTAGGTCTGAGCTAGACTCAGGGTACGGGGCAGAGAAACAGCCGGGAGAGGTAGGCAGGGAGGAAAAGTGAAGTCCAGGGCGTACCTGACTGGCATCGAAGTTGGCCTGGACAGGCACCTGAGCATCTCCGGGGGTCAGCCCGAGCAGGCCCAGGAGGGTGGTGACCAGTACAACCTGCAGCATGGTGGAGATGGCGGTGTGGTGACCAGAGGACAAGCAGGAGGGTGGACAGACAGAAGCTCTGTGTGGCCTCCGCTGCTCACAGCCTTTATGTCCCAAAGGTGCCCTGGGGCACTGGCTGGTTGTCCTGGGCTAGAGCCCGCTCAGATAGGCCCCCGATCGGGTTGCACCCTGAAGCACCCTGGCCCTGCTGCCCTCCACCCAAACCCGCCCACTCCCCGGATTTCCTCTGCCAGCCTCAGGGCCAGTCCCCCCAGCCCTTCTGGGATGTCCAAGGAAAAGGGGCCCACTGTTGGCACACGCCCCCGGAAGCTTGTCCTGAGCACCCTCTTCTCTGGCCTACCTTGGTGGCTCTGTAGGCTCTGGCAAAGGTCTGCCCAGGTGGGGAGGGGCCAGTGGACAGACTTCAGTGGGTTCTGCACACTGTGAGCCAGGAGGCTAAGGTGATGGAATCAGAGGCAGGAAGGGTAACCCCCCAGGGACCCCTGGGTGCCTGTGCAGAGCTGTGTGTTCTTGAGACCCAGCTTGTGCCAGAGGGGGTCTAGGGGTGGCCTGTTCCATTGGTGGGCACAGACTCTAGAGACATCGCCCTCTTTATCCCCATAAGCCCTGGTCTCCGCCCAATCACAGTGTGCTAACTCACACCTTACGAAACCCATGGACCCAAAGCTCTCGTGGCTCTCAGCCGCTCTTGGCCAGGGGGGTGCTGGGCCAGGTGTGGCACTGATGCCCACCTGGGACAAGGACCACCGCAAGCAGGCTGGCAGCTGCAGGGAATGTGATGGGAGAAGGGAGGGTGGGAAGGGTACAGCCCTGTGTGGGCTGGGAGGGGTACAGCCAGAAGCCCCTCTTTTCAGCTGTCCTGACTGCTGACCCCACTCCCCACCAGGAACAAACACTTGAGGCTTCTGACCACCCCATGGTGGTGGCACCTGGCACAAAGCCAGTCACCCTTGGGAGGGGACAGAGGTCCAGGGACCCACAGGATCCAAGGCTACAGGGACAGACAGATGCCAGGCTAGCTGCTTGCTTCAGGATTTATTTCTTGGAGTCAGAATAAAGAGCCCAGGAGGCTGGGGCGGTGGGGATCTTGGGTCTGGAGGAAAGTGGGGGAACAGGCAGGTCAAAGAGGCTCCAGGGCTGGTAACCTGGTCAGGAGGGAAGAGCAGGCCAGTGGGGCAGCAGCACTCTGCCCCCTCCCTGCCCCACTAGAGGGTGGTCCTCAGCTCCACTTCTGGCTATGGCTCCACAGAGGAAATTTACCCTCCAGATCACCAGGGGCCAGAACAGCTGGAGAATCCCCCTAAGACTAGACCCCAACACCCTGCCCTGCCCCTTCCTCTAGGAACCCTGGACCTCTCTGGGAAGATGACTCATCACCACACCCCTGTGGTTGGTTACAAGTTCCTTGGGGTGGAAGCGAGGGATGGCGGGAAGGTGTGTGTCTCGGAAGGTGTGTGTCTCGGAGTCTGCGTTGGTGGGTGAATGAATGAGGGACTAAGTGAAGGACGACTGCAGGGTGAAGCCAGGCCACAGTCTAACCCAACTCACCTAGTTGTGTTCCTCCATGCACTTATCTGTGGGGAAAGGAGCCAAGTGGCTGAGGTCAGCCCTCCCCAAATCTTGGCCACAATCCCCCACCTGGACCCTAGCTTCTCCCTAACCTGAGTAGGCCCTCCAGGCTGAGACCCCAAATGGAACAACATCCATCACACCCCACTCCTCCCCAAGCCCCTGTGTGGTGACCTTTGTCCACTTCAGACAAGAACACACCTACTCTGGGTGGAGGACGGACCAGAAGAGCTGGCTCCCATTTTAATGCTTGCCTCCCCTAGGCTGGGGCTCCCCATGGATTGGAGCTCAACATAGTTTGGTGGTCACCACACCATGGAGTTCTAATGTAGGCACTCGACTACTACCCTCACGATCCACCAGCTGCTCCTCAGAAGCCCTATACAAGGTGGCGATGAGTCAGAATCCACTGGAAGTCACTTCACAACAAACCTCAAGTCGGTTCTGACTCACACCGACCCTGAATAGGGTTTTAGAGGAGTGGCTGGTGAATTTGAACCGCCGCCCTTGCAGTCTAGTGCTTATCCTACAATACTTGTTAAATGTGAAGAGGGGCTTTCTTGAAGAACCACCTCCAGAGGTAAAGGACACGTGGATCTCTGCCATCCACCCCCAAAGCCTCGGGCAGGTCAGCCCACCCCAAGGTCCACCAACGGGAAGCCAGCCTCTAATCGGACTTAATCCCCGCCCCTGGGATTAGGGGCCCTCACCGCTGGGGGACAGAAAGACAATGGAGTCCTCTGTGAAGGGGAGGAGGATCTTGGTTAAGGCAATGAACTTCTCCTTAAACTCGGTCCTGGGGGTCTGGGTCCGGCCTGCGGGGAGGGGAGGAGCAGGAGCCGGTCTCAGCGGGGGCAGCTCTGTTCCGGCCCCCCCCGGCCTCAGGAGCCCTCCCGGGCACGTACTGAACAAGCTGATAATGCGGACGTAATGCCCGGACGTCTTGAGGCCCTCGGTGCATAGCAGGGCGTAGTTGGCATAGTCTGTCTCCACCACCGAGAATTCCAGCGCGCTGCCCCAGTCTGCAACCACGCGGCCACCCTGGTTGGGGGGACCCCGTTCCCTCAACCCCCCCAGCCTGCCCTGAGCCTCTTCCGCTTTGGGGAGTGGGAGGGACGGCCCCATGCGGTCAGGAGCCCAGCTCAGCGCTTCCTGCCTGCACGAATCCCCCAAAACTGCCCTGGGAGACGGGCGGGGGACGTGCTGGCTTGGGAAAGTTGTCTCAGCTGGGAGGCCATCTGCTGGGTGGGTGGGTGGGTGTGTGGGGTGGGGGAGGAACTGTGGGGGAGGGTGCACCTATCAGACGGACAGAGTGGGATTCCCAGCCAGGGACAAACAGGGCTTGCTCCCTTCCCGCCCACCTCCTCATGGCCTGGGCAGGACCAGCCTTCACCTCCCCCCACCACCCGGGGACGGGGCGTTCCCACCCCACTCACGGGGGTTCTGGTACGTGTAGTGGCCTGAAGGCCCTTCCGGCTGCAGTACTAGACTCCAGGTCTTACACTTGTCCTTCCTGGGGGGACGTCACCCTAAGGTTACCGGTCAGGACACAGCATCCCCAGACTGGGACAACAGAGCAGTGTCCTCTGAGCCCCGAAGCCCACCCCCACGGCCCACCTGGCAAAGGTGAAGGTGAGGTTGAGGCTGCCGTCCTCAGAGGAGTCCACAATCGATCTGCACATGGACAGTCCCTTCTTCTCCCGGAACCAGGTCCAGTTGGAGGCAAGTCCCACGGTGAACCACTCCCCCAGGAACTGCAGTGAACGGCGCCCACCCAGTCGGCTGAGACCTTCCTGGGCCGATGGGTGCACACTCCTCCTCCAGTATGACCCCTCCAAGCTCATCCAGGGTCAGCCCCGCCCCACACCCTGCTCCCAATGCAGATCATGCCCACCCAGCCACCCGAAGTGAGCCTGTCCCCTACCCGCTTCAAGGGGGGCCAGCCCTACCCCCACCCCTCCCTCCACTCCCATGTCCCTGGGGGTCGGTGTTTGGGTCCAGTGACCCAGCTGGCGCCAGGCAGAGTTGCCCTTCTGCTCAGCTCACGTCTATCCGCCGGGTGGGTACCCACGCACATCTGCCTGGATTTTCTCTGTCTTAGTGTGCTTGTAGGAACGAAGTGTTTGCGTCACGTCTGCACGTACACATGTGTGACCCGTGTGCTAACTGGCCTCTCATAGTCACCTTAGTGCAGGTGCCCGGACTTGCTCTCCCTCCAGCCCCACTTAACACCTCTGTCCAGGGAGACCATGGGTCCAGGGAGGGCCCCTTCCCTGGCTGGGGAGCCCCTCACCTCAACCTGTTGGAAGTTGTTCTGCACAGAGACCTTGGCTTGGGTGGGCGTCTGCAGGACCCCAAAGACCCCTAGCAGGACCAAGCCCATCCACAGTGGGTATCGTCTTGCCATTCTTCTGGGGCCTGAGTGGACTCTGGAGCCAGGAGCCAGCGGTGTAGGCAGAGAGTGGAAGCAGGCAGGAGTGGACAGAGGGTACCAGGGAGACCCCTACTTATGGGGCCTGCTGGGACTCCTCCCAACATCCAAGGACAGCCCAGTGGAAGCTTGTGATGCTGAGGGGGGAGGGCTGGTGGCCCCACACAGCTGCAGCTTCATTCCTCTCGGGGGTTGCTTATGCAACAGGCCCTTCGGTCTAGACCCCAGAAGCTGACCCATCCCACCCCCAGTTGGCCTTGATGGAGGAATGCTGTGCTGCCTCTGAGGCCATGGTCACCGCCCCCTGGAGCCAGGACCCCTTGTGTCTCCATCCCACTGTTCCATCAACTCACCTTCTCCAAGCCCACAGACCCTGAGCAGACACAAAGCCCCCGGTGTGCCCTAAGAGGGCAGTCCTGAGAGGTCAGCAGGTCCAGGTGCTGGGAGAGGCTCAGCCAAGGTAAAGAAATCGGACCTGCCACCCTCGTGGGGCATGCTGGGTACAGCCTCCTCAGCTCTGTGGGGTTGTCCTTCTTCAGCCGTGGGCCTCTCTGGACATGGGCCCAAATCCCTGGTCTTCACTGCAGCTGGCTGCATCATGTGGTCCTGCCCAGAGTCATCTGATTTCCAAGGTCGAAGCAGCAATGACAACACCCAGAACTGGGTCTCCCCGTCCCGTGATGGGCTGAGGCTGGGACTGCTCACAGCTCCCATATCTCCCTGCCCCCTCCCTCCAGAAGTCCCTCTGGGTGGACTGGCTGATCTAAAGGACCTGGCACTATCCATGACTCTGCCCCCTTCCCAGGCCTGAGGCCCCAGCCCAGACTGACATCTCGGCTGGAGGTCCATAGGCAGGTGTGAGTTTCCATGAAGAGGGATACTTCTCCCGGAGCCCCCTCCCCAACCTGGTCTCTGTCCTCAGGGAAAAGAGGAGATCTGGAAGAGTTCCTGGGTGTGGTGTAGACTGTGCTCCCAGCCCTGGGCACAGGCCCAGCCAGGTTGTAGGAGCAGGTTCCCCCTCCCCAGCCCCCCCACCCCCAGGGTTTGGAGGCCCCTGCTAGAAGCTGGTTCCTGGCAACGGGAAACCCGTCTTCCCCCTGGTGTGACTGGTCCCTGAGACCCATTGGAGTGGTGTAAGCTCAGGGTCAGCCCTCTAATGAGGCATGGCAGGGGTAGGAGGGTGGGCACGGGCACGGAGCCACCCCTGCTGACCCATCACCTTGCACCCCTGGTCCTCAGTCCACACCTCTTTGGCCCCTTGGCCCCTCCATCTTCCCAGCCCTGGATGGATCCCTGGTGAGGGGCAGACCTGGGCATTGTTATGGGGTGTGGTCCCATCAGTACTTGGTTGAACTGGGTGCCTCTTGATTGGGGATGGGCCCAGGAAGTTGTTTTTAAGTGCCTCAGAGTCGGTTCCAACTTATAATGAACCTGTATAGGGTTTCCAAGGTTTTTAAATCTTTGTGGGAGTAGAAAGTCTCATTTTATTTCCACAGAGCAGCTAGTGGGCTCAAACTGCCAACTTTGGGGCATGGAAGAGGTGTGATTAAATCAGGGGGAGTACAGGGTCTTCCATGGGGGGGGGACAGTTAGCTCCAAGGAGCTGCTGGTGGTGACAAAACAGGACCCCTTGGTGGACCCAAGTCTGTGACCTTCATTACTCACTGGGGACCAGTGGGCCTGGGGCCTGACCTTCTGCACCCGCCCTCCCAGATGGCCCCAAATAGGGCAGGGATGGGGGACAGACAGCCACTGTCCTGGGCATAGCGTCAGAGAGAGGCGGGAGGCTCCTGGGGGGGCAGGTGGTGGTGGTGAATTTATCCCTAAAACATGTTGGAAAAGTGAAAAGACACAAAGTGAGAGAGAATTTTTGGGGACTCGTTAGACTGTTAACTGCAAGGTGGTTGTTTCAAACCCATGATCAGCTCCTCAGGAGAGAGATAAGACTGTCTGGTAATATAAAGATTTACAGTCTCAGAAA